TGGGGTGGTCGTGAGTGTACCATTGCATTCCAGCATTCTAGGTGACAGAGTCAGACTCCAACCAAAAAGAAAAAGAAAGAAAGAAAGTCAACTACTCCTTGATCAATGGACTATAGAATGGATGCTGTGTTAGAAGGTATGAACACAACAATCTCCCTGTACATATCCATCATAGCTTTTGGGTAACTAAGTGTATTGTCGTTGAGCAATAATATTTGGAAAGAATTTGCTTTTGTTTTTTCCTGAGCAGTAGATCTCAACAGTTTGGTTTAAAGTATTCCGTACACCATGCTGTGAGCAGAGAACAGGCAGAGTAGATTTCACATAATTCTTTTTTTTTTTTTTGAGTTGGAGTCTCACTCTGTCGCCCAGACTGGAGTGCAGTGGCTGCTCCCAGCCACCGCAGCCTCGACCTGCTGGGCTCTGGCGATCCTTCCGCCTCAGCCTTCCAAGTAGCCAGAATTACAGGTGCGTGCTACCATGCCTGGCTGATTTTTGATTTATTGTAGAGATGAGGTCTCGCTGCCCAGGTATTGGGAGCCAGCCATGGAGGCCCACTGGGCGTTAGGGATCAGGAAGGGCCGTTGACCCTGAGACCACTAGGATGCGTTCTGGAGCTATTTGATCCCATTTTCTCCCCCTTTCTACTCAGCAATAACCAGATTAAGCTTCTGTGAGCACAAAACATAAAACCTCTGAGACTGGGACAAACACAAGCTAACTTTAGAAGCTCATTGCTCCCATTCTTCCACAAACTGCAGTTTTGGCTTTCACACAACTTATAATTCAAACTCATGTCACATCTAAGAGCCTTAGTATTAGTCACAGGCTTCTGGGTCATGATCTTAGGATATATTGAAGGTGTAAATTATAGAATATAGTTTTAGAAGACAGCCATTTTGTTGAAAGAATGCAGCTGGGTTACTTGCAGGTAGCCCACTGTGAACTTTGGACTGGGCCACATTCCAAACATTCTGGGATGGGCCACTTTCGTTTGTAAAGTAAATACTTAAGCTTCTATAGTATTGTTTAACTTGGCATAAATCAATCAGCTTAGGATGAAAACGGTTTATAGAATATGTCAGTCACGGATTAGGTTATCCTTTGTTATGGGATTTTAAGATTATCATATGAAAAGAGTTTAAAGGCAATCATTGATTAAGTTTTCATGGATTAAGGTTTCTGGAGGGTGGGGGACACCCCTCCCACATCTGACTTTGTGTATAAAAGACCTGTTGTAATTCCCAATAAGACACACATTGCTTCTGCACTAGACTGGAGTCCAATCTCTTTCTCTCTCTCTCTCTCTCTTTCTCTCTTTCTTCTCCCCCCAATCGCCGACGCTGTCTCCACCTTTGGGGTACCCTGAACCCAGCTGGAGCTGGTCTCCGGCACCCAGGCGGGTCTCGAACCCGCGGGCTCAGCAATCCACTCACCTCAGCCTCTCAAAGGCTGATTACAGGCTGAGCCACTGAGCCCAGCTAATTCTTACATTTGGAACTGTAAATCCCAAAATTGTCTTCAAAAAAAAGTCACCAGCTGCCTTGGTTTCTAACAAGAGTCAGTCTGTCCTTTTAAGCTTTGAAACCAGGCACTGACTTCGCCCCTCTATGAAAGAACTTGAGGGCATCTTCTTCCAATATAGGGCTGTTTCATCTATATTGAAAATAGATTGTTCAATGTCACCACCTTCATCATTTTAGTTAGATCTTCTGAATACCTGCAGGGGCTTCTACATCATCACGTCCTGCTTCACCTTGTACTTTTGTGTTATGGAGATGACTTCTTTCCTTAAACCTGATGAACTAATCTCTGCCAGCTACAAACTTTTCTTCCACACCCTCTTCACTTCCATCAGAGTTCACAGGATTGAAGAGATGTGATGCCTTGCTCTGGATCAGGCTTTGTCTTAAGGCAATGTGGCTGTTTTGATATTCTCTCCAGACCACTACAACTTTTTCTGTATCAGCACTTTGACTTTCTTATCATTCACGTGCTCACTGAAGCAGCGCTTTTAATTACTTTCCTTCAAGATGTTTTCCTTTGTATTCACAACTTGTCTAACTGTTTGGTGCAAGAGGACGCTTCAGCCTATCTTGGCTTTCAACACGCCTTTGCTACTAAGCTTAATCATTTGTAGCTTTTGATTTAAAGTGAGAGATGTATGACTGCTCTTTTCACTTGAACACTTAGAAGCCATTAGAAGATATTACATGGTCTCATTGTAATATAGTTGCGTTTCAGGGAACAGGGAAACAGAATAGGAAGAGAGGGAACTGGCTGGCCAGTGGAGCAATTAGAACACACAAAATATTTACCAATTAAGTTTGTGTATCATATGGGCCCAGTTTGTGGTGCCCCAAAACAAATACAATGATAATATTAAAGATCACTGATCACAGATCACCATAACGGATCTAATAATGAAAAACTTTGAAATATTGTGAGGAAAGGAGGGAGGAAAGGGGAAGAGAAAGAAATATTGCAAGAATTACCAAAAAGTGACACAGGGACAGGAAGTAAGCACATGCTATTAGAAAAATGGTGCTGATGCCGGGCTCGGTAGCTCAGCCTGTAATCCTGTGCCTTTGGGAGGCTGAGG